AGCATTCTTGGATTTGCTCATTATAAGCATAGACATAAAGTACCATGATTTGGCTTCACAGAGATCTAATTCCTTACTGCCTTGGCTCCTGCCTTTCTTCTTCCCACAGGTCCTTCACAACTCCCCATCCATTATGCTCTTCAGCTGAGCTCTGCAATCCCAAATCATTGTGTAAGTGATGGCATTTGTGCTCACATTGAGCCCTTGCTCTGGGTGCTTTGGGCACAGTTCTGTAGCCCTTGGGAATCCAGCAGCAGCAGCTCCGTGTTCTTGCACTGCCAAAAGATAAAGCTACTTAAACAAAACCAAAATTCACACCTCCATAGTGAAGTTAATCCTGCAAAGTGTTGTGCTCCTGTCTCCTGCTCCACTGTGTCTGGAGCTGCAGTTTGCTTTTATAAAGCTTCACACCACAGGTATACAGAAGAGACACATCAGAGCTGTAAGAACATCAAATGGCTAAAGACAAGCTGAAGATTAAAGTGGATAAGACTCATCTCAGATTTCATATAGCTAATATTCCCCAGCAGTGCTCACACCATTTTAAAACCATTTACTTAATATATATGGGGAGTCCGGGGTTTTATATGTGCCATGTACCCTGATTTTCTCCAAAGCAAGACAAAACCCTCTGAAACAGCTCTTGAAAAACGTATATCCCAACTGTTCTGCTGTTTTATTTGTTCCCTTTGGTTTAAGCTCTCAGGTATTCACACTGCTGGAAAACTGACTGGCCCAGTCTCATTCTCCAGCAAGAAATACCTCGGAGCAGACATCCCATCCCTGACCTTGACAGCCAGCTCAGTGGTGACAAAGTGTATCATGCCTGTGCTCGTTCAGCCGCTGGCCCCTCGGATACAAGCACCAAAGGAGGTGCCAAGTATCGGGTATTTCCTTCCTGCCAAGCGCTGCCAGCTTGGCTGGCACCACATCAGCAATAGTCAGAGGATTGCTAGGACCTGGCCCACAGAAGAGTTTCCATTTTAGCAGCTCCATCCAGTAGCATGTGATACACAGCAGCTACAGTCTCGTTGACTAATTAGGTCCCCAGCTTAGAATATTGATTTTGGTTTTAAATGCCTTTTTTGTGTCTTCTTTCCAATCCCATAGACTGTCTCAGTCCACGCTTAGATTGTGTAGCAATACTCAGCAGACTCAGGGGCTGCAACAGCAACTGCCCCGATACCTCACATAGTTGAAAAACATTAGAAAATATAAATACGATAAACTCTATGAAATGAGAAGATGATTTTCAGCATTTCATAGACTGATTTGGGCTGGAAGAACCCTTAAAGCTCCCCCAGTTCCACCCCCCTGCCATGGGCAGGGACACCTTCCACTAGAGCAGGTTGCTCCAAGACCCTGTGTCCAACCTGGCCTTGAACACTGCCAGGGATGGGGCAGACACAGTTTAAAACATCCCCAATCCTGGCCCCAGTTCTAGGAAGCATAAATAAGTATTGGCAAAATCCGTTCCCAAGTTTTTACGTTGTAAGATCCCCACCAGCGTAACAGCGAAGGAGAAGATCGAGCCCACATTTGGAACAGATTTCATGCGCTCGTCCCTGATCCAAACTGCCTTGACCCTCTGCCTCGAATCGCAGCGTAACATTGCCACCAGGCGGGCAAAGGCTCCCACGGTGCCCACCCTTCTTGGGGGCCGGAGGGGGATGTTCCAGACCCAGACCCCCTACACAAGCGGACCTTGTGCGCACACCTGCAGCTGGGCAGGGGCCAGCACCGCCGCTGGCCGCGGTTCAAACCGCGACCTTCTTGGGCAGGAAGCTGGCGCTGGCCGGGCTCCGTGTGACAGAGCTGGCAGAGCAGCAGCGAGGGAGCAGGGGGTGACAGGCACAGGACGCGCAGAGCGGAGCTTCGGGAATGGCACCGTGTCCGTCCCCGCGTGCTCCTCCTGAAGGCGCTCATCCTCACCGGTGACAGCACCCTGCAGCCATCGCGTCTTCGGGAAGGATGCGACCGCTCCTCGGGGAGCAGGTTTAGCATTCTCGGCAGCGAGGGCTGAGTGAGGACCTGTCCGTTGTATCCAGCTCCTCCGTAAGCAAAGAGCTCACAAAACCCTGCACCAAACTCCCCAAAGCCGTGACAAAATCAGAGGCCAACTAAAGCTCATTATTCCTTGCCGCAAGAGAGAGTTAGGAAAAGCAGTTACGAAGCCACTCGGCTGCTGAGAAATCTGTGTCACAAATCACAGCCTGCTGCTCACAGTGCAGGCTGGGCTGGACGGGGTGTGGAGGAACCTGCTCTATTTGAAAATGTCCCTGCGTGGAAAATGCCCCTGCCTGTGGCAGGGGTTGGAAGTGGATGAGCTTAATTTAAGGTCCTTCCAACCCAAACCAGTCCAGGATTCTGTGATTTTCTTAAGGCTTCCTGAATAATGGTGACAGGGACAAAAATCACAGGGTGCTCTGGCACAAGCTTTCATGTGAGATCTGCAGTGCAGAGGAAAAGGCTACACAAAGAATTTTGCACTTAAAATACCAGCAGCAGGAGAAGGATCTCAGGCTGGGGGTTGTTTTCACCTGGTTGTCCTGGGGGGAACTCATCACATCCCCAGTGACTTCAATTACTTCTTTTTTGTGTGATGACATAAATATTCCTACAGCAACCACAGTTATTAAGTTTCCTGGGGAGAAATAAAATAGCAAGGAAGGAATAGAGCTGTTGTTCAAAACTTCATACATGACCAAAATCATGGCTGGACTTCTTGTATCCAGTATTTCTATTCAGGAGGAACGTAACAGTTTTCCTTATTCCAAGTTTAAAACCTCACACTACTGGGAGTATCATCAGCTTTGAGTTTTGCTGTTTCAATTAATGTCCTGTTAGTATCCTGCTACGAAAATATTGGCACCATATTCCAGATGGAAATACAGTTTATGTTAAACTGATGCATCTGAGAGTGATACTTCACTCTCCCACTCCTTACTTGTGCAGTGCCGTTTGAATTACAACTCTCTGGCACAGGAAAGCCCACAGGAATGGGTCAGGTTCTGTTATTTTGGCAACTTCTTGCTGAGAGACCTTGGAGCAAATACAGTTTGTCTTTATTTTACATTGAGACTCGGAACAGCTGTTTCGAGAGAAATCACTTTCGGAGGGTGAGGTTACACTTGTACAGGTGTTAGGTGTAAGGGTATTGAAAGCACCACAAGCCACAGGTTAGCTCCAAAGAGGTACTTTATTTCATTATAAAGCAGATTGTTTGGGCATTCTTTCTTTCTGTGAACATCCACTGCATGATGAGCAGGTCCTGCTCCGAGGACAGACAAAGATTTCACCACTAGACAACAAGAACACAGATGCATAGAACAAGTGCTGCTTAGACCCTGACGAGCTGGTGGTCTAAACTGCACCCAGGGCAAACAGATGATGTGACCAAAACCACAAGCCCAGCTCCAGCCCAGCCAGAGCTGCGGGCCCAGAAGTAGGGCCCTTTTTATTTCAAGACAAGATTTGTATTGGGCTTCCTGGAAAACCAGCAACACCAACGACCCCCACAGAACCCCCACACCGTGCTCCTTCCCTCGCCTTTGAACGTCACTTTTAACTGTTCTTTATTCCATATCAAAATTGTGCTGTGGGTTACTTGTAGTTTATGAAAGGCAGAAAAATTACTGAACTTAGTGTGAAGTAACAGTGAATGGTTGGTAGTGAGTATTTCACACCTCCTTTATCCCAGTACTTTTGTTCCTTTCCCATTGTGATCCTCATCCCAAGAGTTTCACTTTTACTGATGACAGGTGCATCACATTCCAAACGTGCTGATCTCCCACACATTTGGTATTTGAGCTCAGTGCATCAACAAGGGCTTCTGGATGTCCTCTCTGCTCCTTGGGTACGTAACAGAGTCCTGTCCCGCCAAGCACAAACAGTAGCTCTCATACTGCCAGCCTAACATGCCAAAGGGCACAGCAGGCATGAGGATACAGCGTTGGGAAACGTTCCAACATCACAGCTCCTCAATCTGGTTTCCATGTTGTCCAATACTGATTGAGTATTTACAAGACTCACACACAAGATTTGCATTTGGTCCCAGGCACCTGATCAGTACTGACAATTGAAATTAAATGGAAAACTAAGTACTATTCTGGTCCATTAAAGCCTTTTACTGTAACTTCTCCAATGTCAAATCTTCAAAAAAGGAGTCCTGATACCTTCTGAAAGTAATTTTCTGCACATCATTCAAGTCAGTGAGATTACAGGATGAAAAGGCCTTCTATACAAGCAACCTAGACGTTATCTGACACGGGTCTCATAGCTAGATCCATAGAAAGAGACAAGCAACATACATTCTTTTCACACTCCTTGGTGGTAACCAGACTCAAACTTCACTAGATATGAGTAGTCAGGTAACATCCTGATTGCTACAAGACCAGGATTTATTATCAGTGAGAAAATCTTAGCTCCAGCAAAGAGCACGAGCAGATCTGTGTCTAAGCAGCCACACTTTCCACTTCTGGCAACACAAGTGCTACCAATGATGTCAGTGAAATGAATGAGAAGGTTTTACAAAGCTGCCAGTGTGACCAAGTTTCAAAGCTGCAACTCTGAGGCACAGGCACTGGCAGGATCTAGATTGACCTGAGTTTTCTGCTTACAGAGGAGGGTGGTGGGAAAGAACACACGACAACAGTCTCCAGCCAACACCCCACATCTGACAGGGTCCAGCATAGTTATTACAAGGTAAAACATAAGGAGTTAGAGACATCATTTAGAAAAAAGAAACAACTGCCTCCCAAATCTGCCCTACTGAAAAGAAAACCCCAGCCCAAACACAAAACTGAACATCTGACACACCACTCGTGCTTACAACCATAATCATGGAACTTGAGCATTAGAGGGAGAGATTTTTCCTCACCACTGCTGCAATGGAGCTGCAAAACCAAGTTACTTGGAAAAAAATAATTCCCTTCCAAACATTCATTTAACAAACATTTATTATTAAAACCTGGAAAGGCTTCAGGAATCCTAAATTTGAAAGGGGCTCAAAAAAATCCCAGGAGTCAGTGAACTAAACCCAATTGAGCAGCTGATTCTCCTGACACATCATTAAAAAACAAGTTTCTTTAAAAAATTTTTTTTTGCACATTTTTCCTCATGGATTTATAAAATGCAAACAGGATGCTAGAAAAGTTTAACGTAAGGGAATGTGCTTTGGAAACAGTATTAAAACGTGTGTTCCTACAGAATGACATTATCAAGTTTGTGGTACTTCTTTTCACCTGACTGGCTATGTCTGAGAAGGTTCCTCCCCCCTTGCCTGGGTCCGTGAGGTTAGAAAAGCAGAGCTCCCATGCTGCCAACTTCACTCTGCTCCTTTACAAAGATCTCAAAGTACTGATAAATGATAGTGACAGCCAGCAGAATTCCAGTTCCAGACCCAATCGCCCCCAGGAAGTCTGCCAACACAGACAGGGCGCCAATACAGAGACCACCAAATGCAGCAGCTGTAGGGATGTACCTGAGAGACACAGAATGGGGACAGAAGAGGCGTCATTAGTGCTTGCTCAGGATATTAACAAATATACCAGGGTTAGTGGTATTGGGGTCTACAGAATTATCTGCTTCACAGGCAGGGTTTAAGAAACAATCCCACTGAGAACAGGGAGACCACCACAGAGAGATCTAACAAAACTACACAAGTGGAAAAGTCAATGTCAGAACACTTTTCCCATAGCCCTACAGTCACAGAATCACAGGTCAGAAGGGACCTAAAAGATCACCTTTTTAGGCAGAACATGACCTAGACTAGATGTCCCAGCACCCTGGCCAGCTGAATCTTAACAGTGGCCAATGTTGGGGTGTCCACCACTTCCCTGGGGAAGATTATTCCAATGGCTGATCATTCTCAGTGTGAAAAATTTTCCTCTTGTGTCCAGTCGGAATTTCCCCAAGAGTAACTTGTGCCCATCACCCCTTGTCTTTTCCATGGGACTCCTTGTAAAAAGGGAGTCTCCATCATCTTTGTAGTCACCCGTGAAATACTGGAACGTGTTGATAAGGTCTCCCCTAAGCCTTCTTTTCTCCAGGCTGAACAGTTCCAGCTCTCTCAGCCTTTACTCATACAGCTGCCCAGTCCTTGGAGTATCTTTGTGGCCCTTCTCTTACCCAAGAACAAGGACAAGGAACACACAACAGTGCTAATATACCAGGTAAAGTCTGTGTGAAAACATCACTCAAGAAAACACCACATTACAAATTACAAACTAGATGATCTTAAGGTCCTTTCCAACCCTAACTATTCTGTGATTCTATGATTAAGAAATCCTTGTGCATCAGCCTGAAGTAGGACACTCCAACAACACCCTGCATAAGCAGTCTGTAAAGTGTGTAGCTCACCTGTTCAGTTCATGTACCATTGAAGTTTCCCTGTGGCCTCGCATTACCATTTGCTGTTCTTTCAGCTGTTTGGCAACCTGTATTGAATCAAGGAATGGAGCAAATCAGTTTGGCATCATTTGCCAAGGCCACAGAACTTAATGCTGCAGGAAAGCAGAAGCAAGCCGTTTCAGTAAATGGCGGTGAGTTTGAGGGTTTTATTTTTGTATTCTTTTGTTTGGGGGTTTTGGTTTTCATATCCTTCACCTGAGTTTAAAACATCAGTATTTTAACTTCAGATAGACTGGAGTCACAGGCACTTTCTCTCACTGTCAATTATGCAAAGCTTTCTGGATAAATCTAGTCCTGTTAGGAAAAGGAAGATCTGGAAATTGGTAAGCTCTTATACATGTGAAATTCCTGTTTTGCCACCTACTCTTCTCCTGGTCACAGTTACTATGTTAGCAATACCATCCTATGAAGTGCCCACTCCATTTCAGTTCCAATAGAAGCTACACGCCTTAGAAAGAATCTCTTCTTGGAACATCATTCTTAGATCGGATTTCTGCAGTTGTACAAGGTAACTGTAGAGCCCTGCAAACATTTTACTAACAACTGAGGGAACAAACTCTAGCAGGGGAACTCCTGAAGGTTCTTGTCATAGAACCTACTGTACTGAGAAAACACCTTTCAGATGATCAAGCTACAGGTTTTTCACTATACAGTGAACATTTAAGTAATGATCTTTGTTTCTGACCTCGTTTACTTGAACTTCAAATAATTTTACTGAATATCAGGAAAGTATATTAAAGTGTTAAGAGCTGCCTGATGGTTTACACTCAAATGAAAATCTGGCTATACATGGCTGCGAGTGCCTCCTGCGTGCCTGACAACAAGCAGCTACACTCAAGTCCAAAACAAGAGAGTGCTCACGCTGTTACTGTAACTGTGCAACTATTACATGTTTGTTAAAGAATGGATGAATCCATTCCATATGGCTGCCAAACTCGATTTCCTACCCAAAACCACACAATACAAACATACCACGATGACAACTATTTTCCATCTTTGTTTCTAATTCCAATTTCAGAATGATATAGATGCTGAATAGCAAGTATTGTGTAGCAAATTAGGATTTTGAGAAGCCAGGCTCAGGTACATCAGTGCACTGCACTAGATTCTCTGTTATCAGCACTCTCAAGTTAAAAATAACGACTTCTAGCTAAACTTCTCCAAAGAAGTTAAGAACTCTCTATGCCAGGCACAAGAATTCAAGCTTTACCTGCATATTCTTAAGTAGTAACTGCCTTGCACATGGTGCATCTGTCATTTGGAGCTGAAGGAGTTTCTACCTTTCCTGTTACCTTGCCTGCCCTCACACTAGGTAGATGTTTCATAGCGATGCTCAGTTTTCTAATACCAATGAAAGCAGTTATTTGAGTTTTGTTGTTTTTAGAAGGCAGTAAACAGGAAAATATTACCCCCATTCTGCCCTCATCCTCCCCACTTACAAAAGGGACAAAAAAACCCCCAGTCACTGTTTGTACAAACAAGACATTACCAAGAAGATTGCCAGTGTAATAGCTATTTCAGAAGAAAGTCTTATTCATCCACCCTTATTTCTTCTGAAAGAGCTCACCTGTTTTCATCATGTAAGCTTACATGATTTATCATTTTAAACTTACATCTTTGGCAGAGGAGCCAGAGACTTCAATCCATGTCTTGGAGAAGAAAGCACAGGAGCCCAACATAAATACAATATAGACAACTGCATGTACAGGGTCTTCTAACACTGAGGAAAAGGACTCTGGAGGTGACAGGTAGTAACAAAGACCACCAACTGGATAAGCACGAGCAGGGCCTCCAGATGATGTGTCCTAAAAGAAGGAAGCAAACAGTCACCATCTTTCCTAGTACTTCTTAGCCATTAAGCTAAGCCTGGGTTTGTATCACCTTATTGCCACTACAAGAAGCACATAAAGAGTCAACTTTACTGTCACAAGCATTTACTAAAGTGGAAATGGAATACAAAAATGAACAGCAAAAATACCCAGGACAGCAAAGAACAACCCAAGATAAAAGGAGACCTGGTATCTACACACAATAGGTCTCAGATTTCAGAGTTTCAACATACATGATCACCTGTAGAAATGTGCCTTAAAATCTAGAGAGACCATCTCTTCAACCATGCCTTTAAATGGTGCTCTTATAAAGCTGTATGCAAGATTAGATGGAATACTCACAGACCAAGTGCCCAGCAGGCTAACCAGTAAGTTGCCACTGAAGCGAGCAGAAAGCATCTGGGAGATGACATACAAGTTGGACACCAGAGCAGACTGAAGAATAATGGGAATGTTGGAAGTATAGAACAGCTTGATCGGGTAGGTGTTGTACTGGCCACGGTAGCGAGCAGATTTGATGGGAAGATCCACTCTGAAGCCCTGAAAAGATTTCAAAAGAAACTCCCCTGTTAAGTCTGAACATGAACTGATAGCACAGGTCATAAATGAAATGAAGACTGAACATAGCGTCCAGGAAAAGAAACATTAAAACTTCCTTTACTCTTCAGCAGCTTGCTGCAACAAACAGCAAGAGACACACAGGCTTAAAGACCTCAAATTTTGGGCTAGGCACTATTACATGTATGTTCATCTATCTGTTGGTTTGGGTTTGTTTTCTTTCAGAGACCACAGCAGGTCTGGAGTCTTTTGCATGGCTACGCTAAGCATGGAAATCATGAAGAGAAGCTCAAGTTAAACGAACATGCACATGTTGCAGGTACAAAAATGAGTCTTTTGAGGGCGCTAGAAAGTGAAACTATAATTTCCTGTACAAGGAAGCAGACTGCAGTTCTACTTCCATACAAACTTCACAGTCCTTTTTATTCCAACTGACCTGGAAATAAATTACAATAGCAAAGACGAAGATGGTGGCAATCAGATTCATCAGGTTGGGGAGGTTCTGACGGTAAAAGGCCTCACGAAGAGCTCTGACTTTGTCTGTACGAGTAGCCAGAAGATGGAACAAGGCAATGATGGCTCCCTCAAATTCCATGCCTTGGAAAGAACAAGAAAAAACAAGTTAGGTGTGCTGTGACTATCTCCAAACGTCAAAGCTTTGTCCTTTAAGGCAAACTTCTGAACTACAGGATTCAGGGCGGGATGTCTCAAACTCTTCTGCATCTTGACCATGCTTTCAGACTTTCACTACCATTGTAAAAGATTTCTGTAAGGAAAACACTGTGCCATGTACCTCGCCCTGTGTTCACCGTGGTGGGGCTGAAGGCTTTCCACACTATAGTCTCACAGATATTGGTAGCAATGAAGAGAGAGATACCAGAACCAAGACCATATCCTTTCTGTAGGAGCTCATCCAGGAGCAGAACTATCAATCCAGCAACAAAAAGCTACAGTAAAAGAAGAGAAATACAGTATTAGTCCCATTCCTTTCTAGTTTTTGTTAAAAGAATAACTTGTATTAAAAGATAAGGATATATATAAAAGAGGAAGCAGGAACACTTTGATCTTTCTTCTCTGCATGCAGGACAGACAGTCCATAAGGCTGATATTTTTGACCCCTTCAGAGGGAGGATAAGTAGAAAGGACTAAAGTTACCTGAATTGTGATAAGCAGGCAGATCCCAGCACCCATCTCAGATGGGTCTCCATACATCCCAGTCATTACATACACAATAGACTGTCCGATGGTAATGATCATTCCAAACACTGCAGAATAAAAACCAAGAAGTATGTATTTGTTCTGGGGATTTATGTCAGTGGATGATTAGAGAATATAAACCACTTCTTTGTGAAGTAAGCTGGGAAGGAATATGTAAGTCACAGGATGCTTAAATTCAAAGGCAAGTCAAGTTTGTTGCCTGAAATCTGGCACTGAAAATACACACAGACACTGCAGAAACAAATACGCTTAGAAGCAAGTGGGTTTGGTTACCAAAAATTGCTTCAGATAAAAAAACCTTTAAGGCTGTTAAGATATTACCATAGCAATTCATGATTCTTTTGAGTAGTGTGGTACAGCATCAAGTAGCTAAAGGATACTCAAATTTTTCTAAGAGTCATTTATCAGCTGAGCACAGATACTCCAAAACATCAGCCTTTAACATCAGCCATTAACTCACGTTTCTGCGCTCCGTTGAAGAGGGCTCTGTCCTTTGGGGTATCACCAACTTCAATTATCTTAGCACCTGCCAAGAGCTGCATGATGAGCCCAGAAGTGACAATGGGTGAAATTCCCAGCTCCATCAACGTACCTGCCAGACACAGGAAGAACAGTGAAAGAAAATCATGGGGGGTACCAGGCGCCTTTGAAGTTCACAGTTTGGTTCTTTCACCCTTTAACATCATGATGAAGAAGGTATAAAACTCCAAATCTCCATTAATGTTAAAGGTGTCAATGGTAACAGAAGCTTGTTAAAAGTCAGTCTGATGAGTACTGCATTATTCCTCAGTACCTTAAAAACTTCATTCTCTGAAAAAGACATTTGCTGTCAGGAGCAGATTTACTCTGCAAAAAAGAAGATAGGAATTTGCTTTGTGCCTCTGACAATCACTCACTTGATTATTTGTAATTTTAAACAGGAAAACCCAAACTTTTTTCAGGAGTGCACCAAGAATGCTTTATGATATAAACTGATAGATAGCCCAAGTGATAGAGAATGACAAAGTGAATTCAGGGAACTGTCACCATTTTTAATTCACGCCTGCACTAGGAAGCCTCTGAAATTTATAAAAACCACCATGAATTTTAATCTTCTGCGAAACAGACTCAAAGATGTGACGCAGAAAACCACACCACACACACATAATAGAGTTTGAAACACAAATCAGAAGGCTTGAAATATGTATGGAAGATTGCAACAGCAGCAAAGCAGGTAATCAGGAACTGTCCCTTCCCTACAAAATGCTCCTTGATTTCTGGATGTACACAGCTAACCATAAACTCATTCTGTCCACCAAGCTGCAGCTTCCCAATGCTACACTGCTTCATAATTTTACATGATATATAAGATGACTTTTTTCTCTCTACTTCAGTTTTTACCTTCATTAAAATGAGTGCAGTGTAGGAACAAGTCCAGAAATGTTTTGATCCAAGCTAAAAAAATGCCCTCCTGAAAGACTGACCATACCTCTATTTGAAGCCAAAATCACTCTCATCCAGTAGAATGGATCTGCTGAGTCTGATGACATGATACCAAACAAGGGAATCTGCATTTCCAACCAAGAGAGGAAAACAGGATTAAATTAGAAACTTCATAAAATCCTTTAAACATTTCAGCTCTTCTTTAAGAACACAAAAAGCAGACGTACCTGGCAGCATACTAAGAAGATGAAGAGCGTGATAGCTGTCCAGAGCACCTTTTCCTTAAACTGAATCTACAGGAGGAAAACCAACAAGCAAAGATGCTAAAGCTGTCAAGATAACAAGATCTAGCCAATCAGGCAAACTTTCGTTGCAGCTAAAGCCCACTTGATTTTCTTGTGAAGGGACAAAGTACAGAACATCCTAAATAAAATAATTCACTGTTCATCCCTTTTACACTACAGAAGGCCAAGGAAAATGACAAAACTTTACCGAAACTTTAATCCAGATAAACAAGCTCATGTCAATAGAAGGTAACTCTGGTACCTCCAGAGAAATGAGTCCTACGTTTTCATAAGAAAGAGCTTCTGGTGAGAAAAAAAAATGATACAGAGAAGCTTATCCTACCAAATAGCCTTAGATTAGAACTTACAGAACAAGATGCTATTTAAACTACTCTCATTTACACCCCAGTATGTCCCACTTTCAGCATCTCACTGCTAAGGCATAACCATACCTGCACAAGTTCACAACAGCAGATACATTCTTGTACAACCATATCCCCAATACAGGATGTACAAGACAAGCACAGCACTAAAAAAACTTGTGCCTAAAAGTGCCATTCTCCCAGGGAAAAACCCAAGCAAATCCCACACATACAAAGTAAGGCGTAAACCTTTTGTCTTGTACAAATATAAAGCTATGAAGAAAATTTTATTTCCTCACCTTCCGTTCTGGCTTTTGGATTTCAGGCAAGATTACACAGAAGGGCTTGATTACTTCAAGAAATTTGACTGTATGGGAATAAGTTAAAAGACAAAGTGAACACAATGAAAAAGGATCTCCTCCTAGTGAGCTGGACACATCCTTAGATCAGAGAAGTCTCAGGCTTAGAATTATCATATGAAAGAAGAGGGTACCTGCAAAGTCATAAGTTCTCCTGAAAGCAGAGAGCTACAGTTTCAAACACTTAATGCAAAACTTCTCAAGACAAATCTAGGATGTGCACACACTCTACATATTTTGGAGTCATCTGAACTAAAAGTACAATGATGCAGAAGAACAGAAACTACTGGTGACTTCCCACTTCCCTCCTCTACCTGCTCTTGTGAGACCCCCCCCTGCAGTCCTGCATCCAGCTCTGAGGCAACAGCACAAGAGGGATGTGGAGCTGCTGGAGCGAGTCCAGAGGAGGCTACAGAGATGCTCCATGGGCTGGAGCAGCTCTGCTCTGGAGCCAGGCTGAGAGAGCTGGGCTGGGGCAGCTGGAGAAGAGAAGGCTCCTGAAGGGGACACCTTAGAGCAGCTCCAGTGCCTAAAGGGGCTCCAGGAAACCTGGAGAGGGGCTTTGGACAAGGGATGTAGGGACAGGACAAGGGGAATGGCTTTAACCTGCCAGAGGGGAGACTGAGATGAGCTCTGAGGCAGAAGCTCTTCCCTGGGAGGGTGCTGAGGCGCTGGCACAGGGTGCCCAGAGAAGCTGTGGCTGCCCCATCCCTGGCAGTGTTCAAGGCCAGGTTGGACACAGGGGCTTGGATCACCCTGCTCTAGTGGAAGGTGTCCCTGCCTGTGGCAGGGATTAGAGCTGGATGAGCTTTAAGGTCTCTTCCAACACAAACCAGTCTGGGATTCTCTGTGGAAGGCAGCAACTCCAGCTGCAATTCTGTAATGCTTTAAAACCAGCCCATAAGAATTACTTACTTAATTTAAAATCATTCGTTGCCTGAAAATTACACTGGATTGTGGTTTTCAATTTAAAGCAAATCATGATTCCCTCCTACATGTACAATAGCATACTGACTGACTAAGATGCTTTTCAAGTAGCTCTTCCTCAAGGTTGCAGACTTGAAGCCTTCCATTCACTCGGATTACTCTGGCCTGCACACACTGTTTCTTGTTTGCT